CGGAGGAGCAGCTGGGGGAAGGCTGGGAGCGGTCCCCGCGGAGGGTCTTCGGGCCCAGCCAGTGTCTGCGTGGCGTCGGGTCACCGAGGGAAGCGGGGTCCCTGCCCGCAGTTGTGCGGGGCAGGGTGCAGGAGCAGTAAGTGCCCGGGGCTGTGCCCCATGTTTTACGTGTTCACGCCTGTTACGTTCCCCCTCACACCATCACAGCGGCCTTTGGCTGGGTGGGGGGGGATACATGATCCCTCACCTTCCTCCAGCCCTGGGTGGCTCTTGGCCCTGCCAGCGGAGCAGAGCTTTCTTCCAAGGCTGTGTTGACAGTCCCCCAGTCCAGCAGCATGTCGTTGGGCTTCGCTCATAGCTCTTTTCCCCTCCACAGCTGGCAGAAAGGGCTGGACTTCTCCTCCTGTGGCCAGTGGGAAGAAGCCATCACCTGCTATTCGAAAGCCATCAACCTGGATCCACAGAGGGTAAAAGGTCCCCAGAGGGCTAGGGATGCACTAGGCTGGGAGCCGGAGAAGGGAGGCAGCAGCATGAAGGCTGGCTCTCACACTGGCATCTGGCTTCAGGATGCTGTTAACCTCTCACCAGGCTGATCCTAGGCAGTTTGAGCAGGGCTGGGCTGGGCCAGTGTGGGCTGAGGGTTGTCTGTGGTACAGGCAGAGCTGTACCGTGGTTGTCCGTGGTATGAGCAGCGGGCAGAGGCCTTCCTCCAGCTCTGCGACTTCCAGTCGGCCATGCTGAACTTCAGGAAGGTGCTCACGCTGGTGCCTGCATGGGAGCAGCCCTGCCTGGCTCTCCTGGCCCTTGTCCTTGACCTGCAGGTCAGCCACCGCTCCCCTTCCTCTGTCTGCAGCCCCGGCCTGTGGCCAGGCTGACAGGGCTTCCCTGCAGGGCCGATGTCTGCTTGACCAGGAGCTCTACTGCGAGGCCCTGGAGGCCTTCACGCGGGCAGCTGAGCTGCAGCCTCACCGCAGGGTGTTTCACCAGAGGAGGTAAAGCCAGGGCAGCGCTAGGCTGTCCGGCAGGGCTGGCCCTGCTGTGGGCTGCCTCCAGCCTTGCCCGTCTCCTCTTGCAGCATCGTGTGTCTTGCGGCTCTCAACAAGTTCCCAGAATGTCTCCAAATGCTCAACAGAGACCTGGAGGAGGACGCGAGGAACCCTGATGTGTACGTGCTCCATGCCTCCTTCTATGAATGCTTTGGGCAGGTACAGCCGCTCTGGTCCCCAAGGGGCCCTGCTGCCCCTCCTGGAGGCTGGGGATGTGCTAGGAAGTGCCAGCACCCTCCCTGGGCAGCTGGCCCTGTGTCACCAGGATATCCTACGTGCTCCATGCCTCCTTCTATGAATGCTTTGGGCAGGTACAGCCGCTCTGGTCCCCAAGGGGCCCTGCTGCCCCTCCTGGAGGCTGGGGATGTGCTAGGAAGTGCCAGCACCCTCCCTGGGCAGCTGGCCCTGTGTCACCAGGATATCCGATGGGCCCTGGAGCTGCAGCCACAGCACGGAGCTGCACAGGCCCTGAGGTGGAGGCTGCTGAGACGAGGCCAGGAGGCCAAAGCCAAGGTGGTGTCCAAGGCCCTGTGCGGGAACCTGTGTGGGGCCCTACTCAAGATCAGCTTCGCCATTGAGAGTGACCCCTCAGCTGCCGAATTCTTCACCCTCAGGTAGTGAGAGTGTCACCGCGGCCGGTTGGCCCCATCCACCTCTGAGCTCTCCTATCTCTGTCCCTGTGTCACAGGGGGGCCCTCCTCCGGCGGCTCAAGGACTTCAGTGCAGCCCGCAAGGACTTAGCCAGGGCGAGGGAGCTGGGGGCCGGGGGGCCCCGGAGGCCCAGGAGGCTTGGTGGCAGCTGGCAGTCGCCTACAATGACTGTGCCGTGCACTGCTACGCCCTGAGCCGATTCGATGAGGCTGTGATGCTCCTTGGCAAGGCTCTGCGGGACGAGAGGCGGGAGAAGGGGCTCTATGTAAACAGAGGAGGCAAGCAGCCGGGCTGGGGATCGCAACGGGGTCCCCAGGGTGAGGGCAGTGGTGCATGGGCAGGGCTGGGGTGTCGGACAGCAGCAGCTGCACTCGTGCATTGAGCATGTGCAGGGGAAGGCCCTGCACTGGGGTCCTGCGTTAGGGAGTGATGGCTGAAGTGGGCAGTAGGGCCCCTGGGTTGTCCCTTGGTCCTGACCCCTGTTCACAGCTGTGCCCATCTGAATGGTTTCAGCAGTGGGGAGAGGTACCAGGAGCTGGGATTTACCACTGGTGGTTCGGCTTCCTCCCCACGTGGCCTGTCCTGAGGCATGGCTGGGAATGGCTGTTCTCTTCCAGACTGGGCTGTGTCTCCTGCCTGGCGGAGCTCAGAGCTCTTGGCTAATGACGCTGAAATTTTTGTGGCTGGGGTGGGCTGGACACGTGCCGTGCGTGTTTCCCACTGGCACGGAGAGCTCCAGACAAAGCCCGGGGGTGGCAGCCAGCCCCCAGCCGCTCTCACTTAA